AAAATAAAATTTATAAAAGTAGAAGCTGGGCAGTAGTAGCACACACCTTTAATCCTAGAACTTGGGAGAGAGAGACAGGTGGCTTTCTGAGTTTGAGACCAGCCTGATCTACTGAATTAGTTCCAGGACAGCCAAGGCTACAGAGAGAATCCCTGTCTCAAAAAAACCATGGATGGATGGATGGATGGATGGATGATAAAATACAAATATATAAAACATGGATATGAGGAAATAGATACTTGAATTAGCCAATATTCAAGAGAGAAGAACTTAAACATTATACTTACCTAGTTTGAGTCTAGCTTTTATATCTGAACAAAATACCTAAGGGACTGGAGAGATGGCTCAGTAGTTAAAATTACATGTTGGTCTTGCAGAAGACCTAGGTTCTATTCTACTCACAACTATCTATAACTCTACTTCAGGGGACTGAAGAACTTCTTCTGACCTCTAAGGATAACAGGCATGCATGTGGTACATAGATATACTGCAAGCAAAACAACCATACACATAAAATATTTTTTTAATTTTTCTTTAAGTAATACTTAAGTGAAGAAATACAACCAAATTTAATCCCTTTGGCAATTTTAATAATACAGCATCTACCCAGCACCTGAGAGGTAGAAGCAGGACTGATAGTCCAAGGCGACTCTCAACTACACAGGAAGTTTGAGTCTAACCTGGGCAATATGAGACTTTGGCTCAAAATAATCAAATAAATAAAAGCATCGTAGGCTAGGTAGATAGCTCAGTGGGTAAGAACGCTTACTCTGTAAGAATGAAAAACCTAAGGACTGGAGTTCAAATTCTGAGCACCCACCTAACGAGCGAGGCATGACTGTGCATGCTATTAACCCCAAGACTTTCAAGTAAACATAGATATTCCAGGAGCTCTCTGGGCACTCAGTCTGGCTCAAACGGCAAGCTTCTAGCTCAATCAGAGATCCTGTCTCGCCGGGCAGTGGTGGCGCACGCCTTTAATCCCAGCACTTGGGAGGCAGAGACAGGCTAGCCTGGTCTACAGAGTGAGTTCCAGGACAGCCAGGGCTACACAGAGAAACCCTGCCTCGAAAAACCAAAAAAAAAAAAAAAAAAGACAGAGATTCTGTATCAAGGCAATTCAGCAAAAAGCAATAAATGGCATTCAGTATCTTGCTCTGGATTCAGTATGCAGACACACAGAAGAGCATACTTCACACATGTGAACACCACACACACACACACACACATCATAAAAATAAAGTATCCAGAGTATCCGTTAGCAGTAGTGTGTCTTCATATATGATAAAGTTGCCCTAATCCCAGAGCTGAAGGCTTTCATCCTATCAAACTAAGCTGAGACTACAGTTCAGGAGTAGAGTGTTTGCCTAGGATACGCAAGGCCCAAGGTTTGATCTTGTTACTCACTGAAGAAAAAGAATTCTCTAAAAATGTTTGTGGTGGTTTGAATGAGAATGGCCTCCATACGCCGTAATAGTTGAATGTTTGGTCTATAGTTGGTTTAAACTATTTGGCAAGAACAGTGGATCTTGACCCTAATGCTATGACACTTTGGTACAGTTCCTCATGTTGATTCCCCCAACCATAAAATTATTTTGTTGCTATTTCATAACTGTAATGTTGCTGTTATGAGTGATAATGTAAATATCTGATATGCAAGATATCTGATATTTAACCCCTGTGAAAGGGTTGTTTGACACTCCCCAAAGGGGTCGTGACCCACAAGTTGAGAAACACTGGATTAAGAGGCGTGGCTCTGCTATGGACCAGGTATGTCACTGGAGATGGGCTTTGAGGTTTCAAAACCCCATATCACTGTTAGCTCTCTCTGCCTAACGCCTGTGGATCAGATCTAGGTTCTGAGCTACATACCACTGTGTCTGCCTGCATGCTGTCTGCTGCCTGATGCTGTGCTCCCACCATAATGGTCATGGACTCTAACCCTCTGGAGCCATGAGCCCAGTTAAATGCTTTCTTTTATAAACTGCCTTGATTGGGACTGGAGAGATAGTTAAGGGCACTAGCTGCTCTTTCAAAGAGGTTCTAAATTAAATTCCCAACAACCACATGGTGGCCACAAACATCTATAGCAGGAGCTGATGCTCTTGTCTGACATATAGATGTGCAGATGTACTCAAACGAACAAAAATATAAGCTCCTTGGTCATAGTGTTGTCATGGCAATAGAAAAGTAAGACATTTCCAAGCAAAATAAAATAAAAGTGCACTATCAGAAAAGTAAATTGAGACATTTTTCTGTTCTGAAAACTAGCCTTACTCTACATGGTGGGACCCAGTCTCAACAGAAATAAAAACAAATGTCCACTAACATTCCCTGAGATTTCCTTCTTGATTCTCTTCCATCACCAGAAAACAAAAACAATCCTTACTATACAGTTGTCATGGTAGAAAATACATTTTAAAAACTTCATGGGGCTGGAGAGATGGCTCAGTGGTTAAGAGCACTGACTGCTCTTCCAAAGGTCCTGAGTTCAATCCCCAGCAACCACATGGTGGCTCACAACCACCTGTAATGAGATCTGATGCCTTCTTCTGGGACATCTGAAGAGAATGACAGTGTACTCACATACATAAAATAAATAAGTAAATCTTAAAAAAAAAAAAAAAAAAAAAAAAAAAACTTCATGTGTTTCTTTTCTGTTCGTGGGCAGGGAATTAAGATACAGGTAAGTGAAACTACCAGGGGACTCTCCAATGCTAGACAGTGTTCCACCACTGAACTAAAGTTAATTATGAATGTAACCACTTAAAAGTGTTCACTTATGCCCACTGTGTTACAGATGAGACAGGTTTTCCTAACAGCTCTGTTTAAGTTCCTGCACTGATATAATGAAACCACATCCTATGTGTTTATCTCTTCTCAAAGCTGACTTTTTTGGTCAGGCCTGGTGGCACACACCTATAATTCCAGCATTTGGAGGCTGAGGGAAGATTATTACAAATTCAAGGATATACTGGGACACAGCACGACATCCTGTCTCAAAACAAACAATTAAAATCTCTTTTATTTATTAAATTCATCAGTTTAATAAAGTAAAAATACTTTAAATTTTCAGATACTTCAGATTTGTTTCCCCATCAACCAATGTTCTAACACTTCTCTAAAAGCCTCTCAATGGCAAGAGTTCAAATTTTTGTTCCATTTTTTAACAGTCTACCTAAATGAAATTGGAGAGCTGGCTCAGCTATTAATATTAAGATCACTTCTTGCTCTTTCAGAGAACTTGAATTGAGCTCCCAGCTCCCACACCAGGCAGCACACAACCACTGTAACACCAGCTCCAAGAGCACCCAAATATACATAGCATTCATTCTCTCTCTCTCCCCCTTACTCTCTCTCCCCTGTCCGTCTCTCTCTCTCTCTCTCCCTCTCCCCCCCCCCCACACAGAGATTTCAAAATTAAATCTTTTTTACGTATTTTTAAGTCTATCTAAATGGGCCAGCATTTGCAAGCATCCCTGTAGACTACCTAACTTCATCAATAACCTGCCTCAATTTTATAACCCAATGTTTATTTAATAATAACATGAGGAATTAAAGATTTGGCCAGAATTCCTATGTGTGTTATCTTTTGGTAACATGCCATAATTCTAGGCAAGACTGTATAGTCTTGCAGTTACTCACTTCTGTAGGAAACCCCTATAGTGTTGGAGTGTGTTACATTTTTTTCAGTAGAAATTTCATTAACCTTTGGGCACAATGTAAAAACAAAAAGACTAAAAGTTCCTGTGTTTTTTTATATATTTAAAAGTTTATTTATATCTTACAGATACATAACACATCACTATAACTACAATTTCACACTTCCCAAAATGATTCCACACGAAGCACTGTCATTTGGGAAAACACTAGTTACACTGATCTGTTTACAGTTTCCCCCAAATAGCTGTGTTATTATCAGTATGAAATATGGAAATTACAGTTCAGTCATGAAGGATTAAAACCTCTTTTTAAGGTTTTTGTTTGGTTACACTAACACACAATGGTGCATGCCTAAAATCCCAGCACAGGGCACACACAACAGGAGCAGCAGAAGTTCAAAGTCAGCCATTACATAACTAGGGCTACAGGAGACCCTCTCTCAAAGTTTCGGTCAAATAATCACATTTATTGGCCAAAACACATTGTTCCTTTGAGGAGTATGAGGTTCCGAGATTTAAATAGGTATCTTAAAAAGGGAAATAAGCTTGTTATCCCAAATTGGGAGGATGAGGCGGTGATCAGGGTGAAAACACGAACATAAATCATTGTAACCAATGTGATGCTGGATGAAGGCTGTCCGGTCGGCTCCCGCTTCACGGAAGTCACCCAAGCCACACCAGCAGAAGGGGTCCAGCTTGACTGTGGAATGCTGACTTAGCGGACAGCAGCTTTCCCGGGTAGGGTGCTGGGACGGTAAGCGCCAGCCACTTAAAGCTGGTGGTTAGTTACCCATGTAACAGGCGACAAAAGACTGTGTTGGACACGTCTCCCCTACTCCTGGTCTGGGGATCCAGAAGTCGACGCTCCGAAACAAGTCAAGAGAGACCCCTCGGGAGCCCCAACTGCGAGTCGCCGGCCGCTCGCCACCGCCCCCCAGTTCTATAGTGTTTGGGGGACAAAATGACTCGATCGTGGAGTCCCTGTGCCGCCCTTCTTAAAGAAATGGGGCACGTTATTTTCCATCTACACTGCGTACGCAACGCTGGGGCGAAGGCGCTACGGCGGCCCCAAGGCTGTGGTGAGCAGGACCGACGCCCTTTTCCTGACAGATTCAGAAGCCCGGGCGGCTGCCCAGCTCTCTAACGGCAGGCTTTCTCGCCGGTACCAAGACGAAGCAAGGAAGAGGGCGAGCGCAGACGGCCCGCTGCGCGCCGGGGAAGCTCTCGGTGGCGAGCCGCGAGCGGGCGGGCGGCAGTGCGGGCAGGCCGGGCGGAAGGCCGCGTCCCGAGCAGCCGCCGCCCGCCGCGGGCTGTGATGCGAGGCGGCGCGCCACTTACCCGCCGCGAAGGGTTTACGTAGCGGACCTCGTCACTGATTACGGACGGGAGGAGGTGGGGACGCAGAGCCCGACGGCCGCCGCCCAGGCAACCCGGCGGCTGCGGCCCCACGTCGCGCCCACGTCAGCTCTGATGCGGTTGTCGCGGCCTCTCCGCCGACGCGAACAGAAAGCAGCGCAAGCAGCGGACCGAACTGCGGCCTCGAGCCCCGCCCTCCCCTCCCCCACGCCGACCGCCTCCCTAAGGGGGCACGGCCGGAGGAGGAAAAAAGTTGCAGGCTCGAACTCTGCCCCCTGCTGGCCGTCAGTGGGATTGCAGAGGTGACAATCCAACAATTAAATAGAACGGGGGGGCGGTCGGGTCGGAGCCTTGGGGGCGGGGCTAGCTTGGGGGCGGGGCGTGGAGGGCGGGTGACTAGAAGGGGCTAAAGGGTGGGACAGGAAACCGGAAACTACATCCTCTGCGCGTGCGCTCGAAGGTCCTTATTCTCCAACTACTGTAATGCCGTGCTATGCCTGGTCATTTTTTTTTTTTCCCTGAACACCTAGGATGACTCCTGACCCTGACCTCAGTCTCAGAGTGTGGGGATTCGGTTCCCGCCAGAGGCGCGTGCTAGGCGCTAAAGCCTGCCGAGTTCCCCGGCTTCAAGACTGGTTCTGGAAACTGCCTCTAGGCCTGGAGTGTACTTTGGCGCGGTCCCTGTACCTAGCCTGCCATCTTGGGGGAACTTGTTTGCCCCAACGCCCCAAACAAATAGCTACAGGGCCCTAGGCAGAGGAGAGTAAAACGGTTTGGTAAAAGCCAGGACTTTTTTTTTTTTAAGAGCCTGTTAATAATGAAGAATTACGGTTTCAAACGTGAGATTTTGCATAAGACCTGTAAAGCAGTCACCTATCGTGATTACCACCTTCCTAATACCTCCTCTTACTCCATCCAGCCGTCCTCAAGAGAGTCTGGTCCTCTGAAAGGCAAAGTCACTATGCAATCCGAAACAAAAAATGAACCAACACTCTAAAAACTGGCTATCTGGAAATCTCTAGTGAAAAGTTGCTGAGAAGAAAATGCCTAGAACAAGGTAATACAATTTCAGAAGGGATGTAATGTGTGTGACAGAGTACCTGTAGAACCGGATGTGACAGAGTTACAGCGATTGCCTAAGGGGTAGGGTGGAAGGAGGCACTGTAACAGAAACCTGCTGTTTACCAAATTTTGACCAACCCAAACTGCTACTGTTATAATTACCAAAAAAAAAGGGGGGGGGGCAGAGTAATACCTGGGCAAGGTGGGTTAGGGTACATGCCTTTAGTCCCAGCACTTTGGAGGCAGAAGCAGGTGGTTCTCTGTGAGTTCTAGGCCAGCCTGGTCTACAAAGTGAGTCCAGAACAGCCAGGTCTAAACAAACAAGTCAGAATAAAACCAGATCACTTATAGGACGTTTTGGTTCATCCCTTTAATCTCAGCAATTTGTAGTCAAGACAGACCTTGAACCTCTAATCCTCCTGCTCCAACATCCAAAGTACTAGGACTATGTCTATAGCCCCAACACAATCTCACCTCTTTTAAGATCTGCAGATCAGGGGCTGGAGAGATGGCTCAGCGGTTAAGAGCACTTACTGCCCTTCCAGAGGTCCTGAGTTCAAATCCCAGCAACCACATGGTGGCTTACAACCATCCATAATGAGATTCGATGTCCTCTTCTGGTGTGTCTGAAGACAGCTACAGTGTACTCATAAATAAAATAATAAATAAATCTTTAAAAGAAATCTGCAGATCAGTTTTTACAGCTGTGAGATAATCCCTCTGTGGTACGGTAGCTAACTACATGCTGACCCATAGAAATGCCTTACATTTTCCAACTCATGTACTTTTTTCTCTCCATTTCCACTATAATTGCTTGTGTCTCTATTAAAATTTTGTCATCTTTTAAGACAGCTAAATATCACCGGGCAGTGGTGGCACACGCCTTTATTCCCAGCACTTGGGAGGCAGAGGCAGGTGGATTTCTGAGTTCAAGGCCAGCCTGGTCTACAGAGTGAGTTCCAGAACAGCCAGGCTACACAGAGAAACCCTGTCTTGAAAAAACCAAAAATAATAATAATAATAATAATAATAATATAGCTAAATATCACTTCTTTTTACTTTTCTTGTTGCTTGGGAAGTAGGAGGTTCCTGGGGATTAAATCTATGACTGTAGCCTCAGGCATGCTTCGAAAACTCCCTAGTACTAAGCTATGACCCCAGCACCACCACCCCTTTTACTTTCCTCTTTAATCTTGACACAGGATCTCACTAATAAATGTTCACACTTACCTTAAAATAACTGGGTAGCTTGGGCTTCTGACCTTGAGTTTTCAAATCCTTTTGCTTTAGGTTCCTGAGTAGCCGGGACAGTAGGCCTAGGCCACCAGGCTCAAAAAGAGGCTACTGTCTTGAAGGCCAGAGTCCTCAGCCTGAGAAGAACCAAGACCACCCATCACCATCACCACCCCAGTCTGACTATCACCGTACATTCTCTCCTCTAAGACTGTTCTGTCCTCTGCGTCTAAGTGCTGTGACATGGCCCTATTGACCTGGTTTTTTTCAGACCCTTCTGAATGTGGAATGATTCAGACCATCAGAGATGTGAGATCTGTGTGCAGTTGAGATTTTAGAGCCTACAGGAAGTGGGAGACCAGACTTAGAGGTCTATGCTTTGACTAGTTGATTGTTGAGAGGTTCCCGGTTCCCCCCCCCCCCATAAAGTTTAGAAGGTATACAAAGGGGAGTAAGGGTGTGCAGGCTTTTTTGCTGTTTGGAAAAAGCAAAGGTGAAAAATGGATGCTTATATAGAGAACCAAAGAAGTTCAGGGAATAAAATAGTCTAAGAAAAATACTCTGAAAGTAAGTTTCCCGAGAGCTTGAGCAGACACAGACTACATGCAAAGCCAGCAAGACACCTGCATAAAAGTCAAAATAAAACTGATGTTCCCAGAAGGTTAGCCAATAATTGCACTCAACATTAAGCTGACAATACTAGGTACTAAAAAGCATGGTAAATTAGTACTAAAAAGCATGGTAAATTAGTACTAAAAAGCATGGTAAATTAGTACTAAAAAGCATGGTAAATTAGTACTAAAAAGCATGGTAAATTAGTAGCTCAAACAGCAGCACTGTGGGGTTTTTTTGTTTGTTTGTTTTTGGTTTTTTTTGTTTTTTGGTTTTTTTTTTGGTTTTTGGAGACAGGGTTTCTCTGTGTAGCCCTGGCTGTCCTGGACTCACTGTGTAGACCAGGCTGGCCTTGAACTCAGAAATCCGCCTGCCTCTACCTCCCAAGTGCTGAGATTAAAGGCGTGCGCCACCACCACCCGGCTTCAGCAGCACAGTGTAAATAAATGTAGATCCACAGAAATAAGAGATAGAAGGAACTTTGGAATTCTGATTTTTAACTTTGTTCAACATGTTCACAATGCTTTCTTATTTGCTTGCTTGCTTTTGTGACAAGGTCTTACTGTCTACCCAGACTGGCCTCGAACTTTTGATCCTCCTGTGTCAACTGTCTGAATGCTATAATTATAAATGTATATGCCATTCCTCGCAAATTTAAAACTATTTTCTTTTGTTGCTGTTGTTGTTGTTGGTATTTTTGGTTTTGTTTGTTTTTGAGACAGGTTTTCTCTGAGTAGCCCTAGCTGTCCTGGGACTCACTTTGTAGACCAGGCTGGCCTTGAACTCAGAAATCCACTGCTAAACCTATTTTAAGATAAAATAAGTGAACTGGTAAAAAGAGGCCCACTAAAGATGAAATTGAGCTCTACTTTCTCCAAAAAGGAGGATATAGATGAAAATATCCTTTATATTTCCCTGTTAGAAATGAAGATCATGTAACTGGATGTAGTGGCACACCATTTAACCCTAGAAACTTGGGAGTTAGAGGCAGACAGATCTCTTAGTTCCAAGCCAGCCTGTGTGAGCTCCAGGACAGCCAGAGCTACATAGAGAGGCCCTGTCTCAAAAGCCACAAAGAACATCAGGTAATGAAAATTAAATGGTATTTTGTACAGACACTGTGTGTTGACATTAAAGGTGGGAACCAGAGACCTTCCATCATTCTTAGAGAAAAGAAATTGGGGCCAGCAAGATGGCATACCAGATAAAGGTGCCTGTCACCTAGCCTAGAAGGAGAGAACCAACTCTTGAAAAGAAATGTGTGGATTAGGAAACAAACCAATAAGGAGTAGGAGGAAAAAGGAAGGGGAAGTTGGGGAGCTAGTAAAGGAATCCTTTTTAAACTAATTTTTAGGGCTGGTGATGTGACTCAGTGGTAAAGGCACATGCTGCCAAACCTGGTAACGTGAGTTTGATCCCTGAGTTCCATATGGTAGAAGGAAAGAACTAACTCTCGTACATTGTCCTCTGACTTCCCACACATGCACCTTGGCTTATAAGCGCTCTCCTCTCTCTCTCTCTCTCTCTCTCTCTCTCTTTCCCCCTCCCTCCCTCCCTCCCTCTCTTCCTTCCTCCCTCCCTCCCTCCCTCTCTCCTCCTTTCGCTTTCTCCTAGATCTCACATAGGAGAAAATACATGCAATCATTTCTCTTTCTTCCTCTCCATCACTCTTGTTCCCTCTCTTCTTTGCATTAAAATCACCACCACCCTCACATATAGCCCAGCATTGACTTTCCTGTCTGTGATGCCTGTTCGTGGTTGCCAGTTTGACAACATCAGGAACTAACTAAAACCCAAATGATTGAGCACACCTGTGAGATAAAATTTTCTTCTTTTTAAAAAATATTTATTTATTTATTCTTCTGTCATATATTACATCCTGACTAAAGTTTTCCCTCTCTCCTCTTCTCCCAGGCCTTCCCCCAAATCCCCCTCTCCCTTAGATCCATTCCTCCTGTTTGCCTTCAGAAAAGGGTAGGCCTTCCAGGGGTATCAACCAAATATGTCATAACAATTTTCAGTATGACTGGGCGCATATCCTCATATCAATGCTGAACTAGGCAACCAGGTAGGGGAAAAAGGGTCCCAAAAGCAGGCAAAAGAGTCAGAGATAAACCCACTGTTAGAAGTCCCACAAGAACACCAAGGTACATAAGCATAACATATATACAGAGGACTAGGTCAGACCCATACAGCCCCCCTTTTTGTCTTTCAGTCTGTGCAAGCCCTATGATCCCCGGTTGATTCTGACAACCCATGTTCTTGTGATGCCCTTGAACCCTGAAGCAACTATAATCCTTTCTCCCCCTCTTTCAAGAGATTCCTTTAGCTCCACCTGATGTATGGCTGTGTGTCTTTGCATCTGTACTATCAGTTGCTGGATGAGGCCTCTGTGGTGATAATTATCCTAGGTCCCAGTCTAGAATATAGGAGACTATCATTAGGAATCATTTCATTGATTTTATTTTACTTATTTGTTTGTTTGTTTGTTTGTTTCCAGTCGTGTTTGGTTCTTTCCTAGGTCGCTGGGCTATCTAGCCTCTGGTTGCTGGAAGTGTCAGGAAAGGGCTCCCTCACATGAAATGGGTCTCAAGTCAGACTAATCATTGGTTGGCCACTCCCACAAGTTCTGTGCCACCTTTACTCCAGCAAATCTTGCAGTCAAGACAAATTGTAGGTCGAAGGTAGGTTATGGCTGAGTTGGTGTCTCTATCCCTCCACTGGAAGTCTTGCCTAGTTACAGAAGTTGGGAGTCTTTGCTATGTTAACCCTTGTACATTCCAGGGAGTTTCTATTGCACTACATTTCTACTTTACCCCAGAAATGACCACCAATTTGAGTATTTCCCAGTACTCTCTCCCACCCTAGAAATCAGTTCTGTTTCCTCTTCCCAGAGAGATCCAAGCATCCCACTGTGGCCACTCCTTGTTATGTAGACTCTCTGAGTCTGTGGATTTATGATTATTCTTTATAGCTAATGTTCACTTATAAGTGAATATATACCATGTTTTTCTTTCTGGGTCTGGGTTACCTCACTCAGGATGGTTTTTTTCTAGTTCCATCCATTTGCCTGAAAACAGTATGATGACATTTTTTTTAACAGCTGAGAAATACTCCATTGTGTACCACATTTTCCACATTTACTTTATCAATTCTTCAGTTGAGGGACAGCTAGGTTGTTTTCAGTTTCTGGCTTGTTGGCATGTAGGAGGATGCAAACAGATCTATATCTATATCACCCTGGACAAAACTCAAGTCCAGTTGGATCTAAGACCTAAACATAAAATCAGATTCACTAAACCTTATAGAATAGAAAGTGGGGAATAGCCTTGAACACACTGGCATAGGAGACAACTTCTGAACAGAACACCCATAGCTCAGGAACTAAGATCAACAATTAATAAATGGGACCTCAGGAAACTGAACCAATTGAGTAAAGCAAAGGACACTCTCAGTAAGACAAAATGGCAGCCTACAAAATGGAAAAAGATTTTCTTTTTACCAACTTCACATCTGACAGAGGGCTACTCAAGAAACTAGACATTGCTGGCCGGTGGTGGCACACGCCTTTATTCCCAGCACTTGGGAGGCAGAGACAGGCGGATTTCTGAGTTAGAGGCCAGCATGGTCTACAGAGTGAGTTCCAGGACAGCCAGGGCTACACAGAGAAACCCTGTCTCGAAAAACCAAAAAGAAAGAAAGAAAGAAAGAAAGAAAGAAAGAAAGAAAGAAAGAAAGAAAGAAAGAAAGAAAGAAAGAAAGAAGGAAAGAAAGAAAGGAAGGAAGGAAGGAAGGAAGGAGAAGAAAAGGAAAGAAAAGAAATTAGACATAAACAATAATCCAATTGAAAAATGGAGCACAGCCAGGAGTGGTGGTACATGCCTTTAAGTTCAGCACTTAGGAGGTTTAGGGAGCTGGAACTCTGAGTTTGTAGCCAACCTGGTCTACAGACTGAGTTCTAGGACAGTCAGGGCTAAACGTAGAAACTCTATCTCAAAAAACAAACAGCCAAAAAATAAAAGGGAGTACAGATCTAAACAGTGAATTAATAACAGAGGAATCTCAAATGGCTGAGAAGCACTTAAAGAAATAATCAACATCCTTAACCATCAGAGAAATGTAAATCACAACTTTTGAGATTCTATCTTAGAACTGTTCAGAATGGCTAAAATAGAAAAAAAAAAACCCACAAGTGATAGGTAGGTAGCTCATACTGGGGAGGATGTGGAGCTAGGGGAACACTCCTCCATTGCTGATGAGAATGCAAACATGTACAGCCACCTTGGAAATCCGTATGGCGGTTTCTCAGAAAATGGGACTCAATCTACCTCAAAACCCAGCTATACCACTCCTGGGCATATACCCAAAGGGTATTCCATCCTACCACAAAGACTATGTTAACCATGTTAATAGCAGGTTTGTTTATTTCTTTTTGGTTTTGTAATTGTTTTTGTTTTTCAAGACTGGTTTCTCTGTGTAGCCTTGGCTGTAGAACAGGCTGGCCTCAAATTCAGAGATCTGCCTGCCTCTGCCTCCATAGTGCTGATATTTTTTTTTTTTTTTTTTTTTTTTTTTTTTTTTGGTTTTTAGA